GGGGCATAGGGGCATGGGTGCCTGCGTGCAGGCCCCTTCTGCACCGCCGCTGTGTCTTGTTGAGGCCCTCCGCAAGGTGCGAGCTGGGATGCCCGTGCCTGTCGATGCACAGGCGGCGGCATCCATTTTCAAAGCTCATCATTGGCCTGCTTAGGCGCCCCCGAGTCGGTCACGCTGCCGCTGCAGGCGCGGCACCCCGCGCCAACGGCCAACGATTTCTTAGGAGGCAGTGTTCCGACCTCTTGACACAACCAGAGGTTAATTGGTCGGTCGGGCAAGCGGGTGGCGTCAAGTTAGCTCCGGCTAGCGCCCCACTGGTTGTTGTTGGCCCGCTTCAGTGGCCGCTCGACGGCCCCACTGCCACTGCGTGCAAGGCAGCCCTCGACTTCGTCGGTCTCATGTAGGCGCCGTGCCGACTTGGGTGCCCACCCCTGTCGATGGGCAGGAGTGGGCACTCGTTGTTCGTGCCGTATTCTGGGATACCCATCTGTGTCGATGGACAGGCATGGGCATCCCCTCCCTCGTACATGAGGGCTACTTGGTATACGCACGCCGTGGACCGCTCCCAGGGCCGCGCAGCGGCCAAACTGCTGTCGTGGGTGCGCCAGCCTTCGCCATTGACGATGTCAGGAAGGCGCCGTTTTGATCTGGATGCCCCCCCCCTGTCGATGGACAGGAGTTCGCGTCTAACGCCGGGCCTAACGCTAGGATGCCCATCCCTGTCGGTGAGCAGGCATGGACACCCCACCCTCGCAATGAGGGCTTGCTAGGCGCACGGGAACTGTGGCCCGCTCCCATGGCCGCGGGGCGGCCTTGCGCGGTTGCGGGCAAGGCAGCCTTAGACATAGAAGTTGCCCAGCTGGCGTCGTATTTGGTTGGGTTCCCATCCCTGTCAATGGGCAGGCATGGACATCCGCCTATCGAGCCTCGAATTAGGATGCCCATCCCTGTCGATGGACAGGCATTGGCATCCCACTCTCGCAACGAGGGTGCTGCTAGGCATATGAAAGCCACAGCTCGCGTAATGGCCGCAAAAAAGCCATGCTGCCATAGCGAGCGCGGCAGCCTCCGGCACCGAGTGTCAAATGGGCGCCTTTCCGGTCTGGATGCCCACCCCTGTCGATGGACAGGTGTTGGAATCCACACATCGTGCCTCAAGTTGCGATGCCCATCCCTATCGATGGACAGGCATGGGCATCCCTCCCCCGCAATGGGGGTTCGCTTGTCACACGAAAACTGTGGTCCGCTTAGACGGCCGTGGGGCAGCCAGATTGCCGTTGCAGTCTCCGACATCGATGGTGTCAGGTAGGCGGCGGTTTTGTTTAGATGACGTCGGGCCCACCAGCGGGCACGGGCCAGCCCAACAGGCGCAGGCCTAGAACGGTTTTGGCGGCACCGTCCCCAGCCTCAACAAACCTTCTCCTTCCCCTCCAACAACGCCCCCCCATGGACGAGTGAGGAGGAGGATGAGGAGTCTCACATGCCGCGTTCTGACAGACCGAGGTTTTGGCCTCGGTGCCAAGACCTGACAGAGGGGTGATGTTTGAAGGCTGCGCAAATCCCAGCGGTGCTCGGCTGGGCGCGGGTCGCAAGACGGTGCCTGCGCACTGCCAGGGCTCTCGACCCCGTCCCCAGAAGCTGAGGAGCCTTCCAACCCCCCCCCTCCCCCCCATCCCCCCTCCCCCATGGGCGTGGTGGAGGAGGGAGAGGAGTCTCACATGCCGCGTTCTGACAGAGCGAGGTGTTGGCCTCGGTGCCAAGACCTGACAGAGGGGTGATGTTTGAAGGCTGCGCAAATCCTAGCGGTGCTCGGCTGGGCGCGGGTCGCAAGACGGTGCCTGCGCACTGCTTGGGATGGTTCTCGGCCCCATCCCCAGGAGCCGAGGAGCCTCCCAACCCCTCCCTCCCCCCCGGCACCCTCTTAAAGAGCCACTCGGGATTCAGGCGATGGCGCAGCCCTTGGCCGCCGACCGCGTCTTGGCCCAGCTTGTGGCCCTCTTGGAAGCCATCAGGAGCCGTCGTGGGCCTTCCAGGCGCGCTCGGGACCCAGCGGCCTCCAGCGTTCCGAATGTCCAGCCGTATCAATTATCCATGTGTACAGGTACTCCTTGTATCAGTCCAGAGACACATGCAGATGCATAGACACATATACGTGTATATATATATATATATATATATATATATTACACTAACCAACATATATGTACCTATACACATAGATCATAGACATGTATATACATGTAGATCAATCCCTCGATATCCGACCTCTTCGTCTTCGATCATGCCGCCCTTGGGGATCGGGGTTACATCTTGTCTACCTGCTATGTGTAGTTCGCGCAGCCCCTGAAGCAGGATAGAGAGAGAGAGAGAAGACAGGACGAAACATTTAGCGAGGAGGACACGGGTGCGGGAAGGGATGGAGTAGGGAAGCGGCAATGGGGACGGAGAAGGATGGAGCGCGAGAGAGATTCACAGGAGGGCGGTTCGGAGCATGAAAGCAAGCGGCAGAACCAGGCGGTCGGACCCTAGCGGGCGCGTCGGGCGAGCAGGCACAGACGGCCAGGTCGAGTTGGCGGGTCGTTGAGGCGCGGATCTGGCTTCGATCGCGAGGAAGTCTCCAGCGATGGCGCGATTGCCAAGCAAATCGTGTGGAAATAAGTCCACCGCGAGAGCGTGATTTCTGAGTACCGAGGGCGCGGCATCTGAATACTTGGCCGGTGAGTTGTAAGGAAGTCACGTGCGAGACCGCGACTTGAACGAGTAATTATGAGGCAGTATCAGGCAGGAACGGTTATTTTTGATGTAGCTCGGGACCCAACAGCCCCGTCTGAGGTTCAAGACTTATTTTTGCAAGCGACAGAGTGTAAGCCCCGGGAGGGGCATATCATCTGAAAGACGCAATGGGCACCGGAGAGGATCAACAACCACTCATTTGCAGAAGTGAGAGTTCAATACGAACAACAATTCAGAGCCCCGAATCATCTGGGGTAATTCGGGTCAGGGCAAACTCGGGTTCCTTTTTTCGGGAGTCCGAACCCGACTTACCCCGGTCCCGAGTTACCCCGGATAATTCGGGCGCCCATAGCCCCGAATCATCAGGGGTAATTCGGGTCAGGGCTAATTCGGGTTCCTTTTTCGGGAATCCAAACCCGAGTTACCCTGGACCCGAGTTACCCCCGAGTTACCCCGGATAACTCGGGCGCCCAAACAATCATATCATTACCGGTTGCTCTCATACGCCCGCCTTTCACTCAACATGCATCTCCCGCGGCCTCGGTACCACCCTCTTCGTCTTGAACCGTACCTCCTTTTGGGGAGTATCTCCCTTCCCTGCCTCCCGTAACCTTTTCCAGTAAGAACAGGAAGAATTGGAAGAGGGAGAAAGCAAGGGGGAACGGAGTGGAGGAAGGTCGGGAGGAGGTAAGAGGGCAGTACGGTGGGAGGGAAGAGATGGAGAACAAGAGGCATTAGCAAGGGGGATTAGCAATTTGGGATGGCAGCAAGTAGGCGAGGGCGCGGTTCCTGAGTAACTGCCTTGAGCCCGAGCGCGATTCCAGAGCACGGAAAGAGCGAACCGTGAACACATTGTAAGGAAGTCTCGCGCGAGAGCACGATCCCAGTTCGAATTGCGAGGACATCTCGAACGAAAGCCAGACTTCTCAATGAGTTGTGAGGACATATCAGGCTAGAAACGATGCTGATGTAAGCCCAGGGCCAGGGGCATAGCCTGAGGTTCGAGATCTTCACTCGCAAAAAGAGCTTGCGAGCCCCTTGAGAGCGCACTCCATTTTTCATAAACCAAAAGGAAAAAGAAGCATGTACGAGAGTGGAAGGGATCAACCACTCCTAGTCGAACTCGGGCCCGGGAACCCGCTTCGCCCACGCACCCAGGGACTGTGTAAGACCTTTCGGCCCATATTCTGATGAGAGGGTTGCAAGTGCCTCAGCGGCATAAAGGGGATTAGATAACGCCGCCAAGTGGGCTCCGCCCACTTCGCCCGGATTGTTGACCCCGCTCAGCCGATTATGGCACGTATCCCAATGATAAGCTAGGTCTGGCCATGCATAGCTCACCTTCGCATCCCCTTAGGGCCCACCTATCCCCTTAGCAGTCCCCGCGCCGATCCGCGCTCGCTCCATCGTCGGGGGGGGGGGCGCCTTGGGCTTCCCGAGTGGCCGCCGTGCTAACGGTTTCTGTGTCGACGCGGCGGCGTCCCCGTCCCAGATCTTTGCCGATCTAAATTGTTCAAGCCGTGGATGTGCTTCGATTTCTCGAATTTGGGATCGACGACAGACTTGATCTACCCCAGCATTGACTTTCGCGTCGGAAGCACGAAAGAAGTACGTACATTGTTTGTAAATATACGGATCAGTCCATGTATTTTCGTCGTCTCGACGAACAGATCAATGTTGGGTTCAATCAATTTTGTAGTCGATCCCCCACTCGAATTTCGGCCCTTCTGGGCCGCCTCCGGGCCCCAGAACCATCAATCACAGCTAGATCGAGCACGAAGAGCTGCACGCTGCGCAGCGGCCCCCCGGAGAAGCCGTCGCGACAGCTGGGGGCTGCGGCTGGCAAAGACTTTTGCGTCGCAGCACGGCAGAGGCAGTCCGCACGCGCCTCCGGGCGAGACCGGGCCGCGGAGTCGCAAAGCAACCCGCATGCAGGAGGGAGTGGGCCGCGCATGGGGAGGCCATGGGGTTGCGGGTGTTCGAGGTTGGACGCCGCCAGTGGCCCAGAATTGGCCGGCATTGAAAGCCTCCGCTTTCTTCCAGGTCTGCCAGACAGTGTTCGGGCAGATGGGGACGGAGTGTCGCATCATCCGATTGCCGAGGCATCGGCCGTGCGGCTCGATGTGGACCCCGCTGTTCTCCCCGCCGACGTCGCCAGAGCTAGTGCCTCGGCGATGCTCCGGCTGGCGGGAAGCCGCGGCAGCGCAAGGCGGAATGGTCCACGCCGGCGCCGGCGCCACGTCCCGAGCCCCGCTGTGCTCTGCGGGCTGCTCCTGCTCGAGCCCAGCCTGCCCAGGTGCCGCTCCGCCGAGGGCCCGGGCTTGACATCAGGGAGTTTTCAGGGGCAACATGTTTGAGCAGGTGAGCAGATCTATCATCGTCGTCTTCATCCGTCGTCATCTTCAGGTATGGCGTTCGTTCACGCCCGCGTGCTTCGAGTGCTTCGTGTGGCGTTTGGCCACACCTCTGTGCTTCGAGCGTTTCGAGTGATGTTTGGTCACTTGTATTTTTCCTGCCAACGCGTCCACCTGGACGCAAGGCTTCTGTCTGTCTGTCTGTCTGTCTGTCTGTCTGTCTGTCTGTCTGTCTGTCTGTCTGTCTGTCTGTTGGATCGAGTGTTGCGGGGGGGGGACGATACATCATGGGGGGGGGGAGGGGGGAACGTGCACTTGTCGTACCCCTTTTGGGGCCCAGGGGGCCGCTTCAGGGCGCCAGAAGTAGGCCTTTCGTCACCACTCCCTTGCGCAACGCCCGATTGCAGGTCCCCGGGAGGTTCCTCGTCGCCGCGGCGGGATCCGCCTCGGAACTCTGCCAGGATGCAGCCCCCGCCCGGGATTGCTCGAGCGTGTTTTTTTTATGGGGCCACAACGCGCGCGTTGTGCCCAACCCCCTCTACTTGACCCCCCCCCCCTGGTGCGTCCCTGACACTGACTCAGTGCGTCCGTTGGGGGGGCGGGTGGCGTTCAATGACTCACTGACTCACTGCCACGGTGGGGGGCGGGTGGCGTTCAATGATGCCTCCCCCCCACCCCCCCTCCCCCCACCCCTTCATGACGCCCGTCATCGCCGCTAGTTAAAAATATGTGTTCGTCCCGGCGCAATTTTTTCCAGGGGAGGTCGGGAGCCTCAAGACGGGGGTCAATGCAAACGGGGGTCAATGCGAAGGATCCTGCAGAATCCTGCGGGGACAGGGTCGCATTGACCCGGGTCTGGGTGCAGGATCTTTCAGGATTTTGCAGGATCTTTCGCATTGACCCGGGTTTGGTTGCAACCCTTGATCGGGGACCCCTGAGCCTCCCGAATGCCGTTTGCAAAAGTATATCTTTCCTTGCCACGTCATCTCCCCGTATAAAGTCTCCCAATCTACTCATACCCCGCATTGTGCAGGGGTTGGGTATGCCGCCAGGGTTATTTTCCATTTTTTCTTGGATTTTCGTCTTTCCGCCCACTTCCCATATTTTTCATATTTTCCAGGGAATGGATTGTGCCTGTGTGTTTTTGTTCCCTCCTGATTGGATGCCGAAACTAAGGAACAAAACGCGCCAGCATTGAGAGCAACAGTCAACCAGCGGTCTGGGCCCGCCGATCTGACCAACATCTCCAGGTGGATCCAGTCGTGGCTGCTGGGGACCTTCCTGGAGCATCAGAGAGGAGAGAGCAAAGACGTTCCGCAAGCTGACATCCTCCTCCGGGGATCTTCTGACCCGGGTCGATCCAGACCCAAGGTGCTGGCCTCACCTGCAGCCCTCGAAAGGGGCGACAGTTTCACAAATCGCAGCCCCACAGAGATGGCGAGGTCTGATTTGGATCCGTTGCGAGTTCCAACTTTGCTGCCCCCCCCCCCCCAGCAACCCTTGAAACAGACAATCGTTTCGCAGATCGCAGCCCCCCAGGGATGGCGAGGTCTATTGGGGATCCGCGGTGAGTACCCACTCTGCTGGCCTCCCCAGCAGCCCTCGAAAGTGGCGACGGTCTCGCAGATCGCAGCCCCCCAGGGATGGCGAGGTCTAATTCTGATCCGAGGTGAGTACCTATTCTGCTGGACTCCCCGGCAGCCCTCGAAAGTGGCGACAGCTTCGCACATCACAGTACCCGAGGGATGGCGAGGTTTACTTTGGATCCGCGGTGTGTGCTCACTCTGCTGGCCTCCCCAGCAGCCATCGAAAGTGGCGACAGTCTCGCAGATCGCAGCCCCCCCCAGGGATGGCGAGGCCTAATTCTGATCCGAGGTGAGTACCCACTCTGCTGGCCTCCCCAGCAGCCCTCGAAAGTGACGACAGTTTCTCAGATCACAGCCCCCCAGGGATGGCGAGGTCTCATTCTGATCCGCGGTGAGTGCCCTGTCTGTTGGCCTCCCCAGCGGCCTTCGAAAGTGGCGACAGTCTCGCAGGTCGCAGCCCCCACAGGGATGGCGAGGTCTACATTGCATCCGCGGTGAGTGCCCACTCAGCTGGCCTCCCTAGCAGCCCTCGGAAGTGGCGACAGTCTCGCAGATCGCAGCCCCCCAGGGATGGCGAGGTCTACTTTGGATCCGCGGCGAGTGCCCACACTGCTGGCCTCCCCAGCAGCCCTCGAAAGTGGCGACATTCTCGCAGATTGCAGCCCCCCCCCAGGGCTGGCGAGGTCTGATTTGGATCCAGGTGAGTACCTATTCTGCTGGCCTCTCCAGCAGCCCTCGAAAGTGGCGACAGTCTCGCATATTGCAGCCCCACTGCCCAGGGATGGCGAGGTCTAGTTCTGATCCGCGGTGAGTATCCACTCTGCTGGCCTCCCCAGCAGCCCTCGAAAATGGCGACAGTCTTTCAGATCGCAGGCCCCCAGGACTGGCGAGGTCTAATTCTGACCCGAGGTGAGTACCTATTCTGCTGGCCTCCCCAGCAGCCCTCGAAAGTTGCGACAGTCTCGCAGATCGCAGCCCCCCCAGGGATGGCGAGGCCTAATTCTGATCCGAGGTGAGTACCTACTCTGCTGGCCTTCCCAGCAGCCCCCGAATGTGGCGACATTCTCGCAGATAGCAGCCCCCCCCCAGGGATGGCGAGGTCTACTTTGGATCCGCGGTGAGTGCCCACTCAGCTGGCCTCCCTAGCAGCCCTCGGAAGTGGCGACAGTCTCGCAGATCGCAGCCCATCAAAGACTGGCGAGGTTTACTTTGGATCCGCGGTGGGTACTCACCCTGCTGGCATCCCCAGTAGCCATCGAAAGTGGCGACAGTTTAGCAGATCGCAGCCCCCCCAGGACTGGCGAGGTGTAATTCTGACCCGACGTGAGTACCCACTCTGCTGGCCTCCCCAGCAGCCCTCGAAAGCGACGACAGTTTCGCAGATCGCAGCCCCAACAGGGATGGCGAGGTCCGCACAAGGCAAGAGGAGACAAGAGGGAGAGGGGAGGAGGAGGGAGGAGGCGGGAGGAAGGAGGGACGCGCGAGCACTGCTCTGCTGAAAACGCATGCCCAACCGAGGAGGGTCGGGAAGCATTTGGAAATCCTGGGATCTCTGCGCACCTGTCTGCGTGTCCCCATGGGCCCCTCCATCCGGGGGCCCGCTCTCGGGCCCCTGGCGCCGTCAACAGCGGATCCGGCGTGGAGGTCTGCCCCCGGTGTTGGGCGCCGCGCAATGGGGGGGTCACAAATGGGGGGGTGGCACCAGAGCCTGGGGCAGGCTGATTCGGCCCCTGAACGGGGCTTCGCACTCCTCTTCCCGATTTGCTTGTAGCATTTTTCCTCTCGAGTCTTTGCGAGGACGGAAGCAGGAGCCAGGGTCCCAACCCCCTGGCCACGAGAGAGGCAATCAGCAGCTTGCCTTCGCTGTGCAAAAAGTGCGTGGGTGGTTCGAAAAGGTACCCAAACGATACCTAAACGAGCCCCCTGGGGCTCTGGAGGGGCCCGAACGGGGCACGAAAGGGGGCCTCTTCTGGCCCCCCCATTTGTGACCCCCCCATTAAGCCACGCCCAACGGTGGGAGGGTCGGCGGCGAGCGTTGGGGCCGGCTCTCCCGGAAGTCAGAGCGTGGATCACCTACCCCGCTTTCGCTTCCAGGCAAAACCAAGGCATACCACGCGCCTCCTCGTCAAGCGGCCTGACCAGTACAGGCCGTAGTTTGGCATCGCTTGGTATCTCTTGGAAGCGAGGGCGGTCAAAAGCGAGGTGGGTTTGGTTTCCCCCGAAGAAGGCTCGAGAGGCCTCGGGCCTTCCGGGGCAGTTGTCGGAAGCCTTCCCCGAAGACGCAGCACATGTCTCAGAAGGTCTGAGGGTTTCTGAGAGTCTGGGCCTCCCAGGTGGGCTCCCAGCAGATGGGGTCGGAGGATCGCGCAGTATCGCCGATGCATCGCCGATGCGGCTCGATGTGGAGCCCGTGTTTCCCCACGCCGACGTCACCGATGCATCGCCGACGTCGCCGATGCATCGCCGATGCATCGGCGATGCATTGACGATGCGGCGCGATCCTTCGACCCCATCTATTCGGACCCCATCTAGGAGGCCTCTAGAGAAGCCCTTCAGCCTCCCGAGAAGACCTGCTCCTCACTCCTGCGGGCCGACACCAATCACGCGTCCATCCCATGCACAGCCCTCCTACACCTCCGTCTTCTTCTTCTTCAATATTTCATATCCTTCCGCGATCGTTATTGTCCCTCCTTTCTTCTCCTCCGCCTCGTCGTCGTGCTTCTCCTCGTCCTGATCCTCGTTATTCCCCAACCGATGCGTCCCAAAAATATCGACGCGGGGCAGGACGAAACAGAGGGATTATGTGAAAGAGTGTTGCTGAGGTGCGGGCGTGTTACTTGAGCAAGTACGCCAGATAACACCCGAATCAGTTTTTCGTCGTTGATGGTGATGGGCATGAGAAAGGATTAGGGGGAGAAACGGCGGGGGCAACATTACTGTCTATGCTTGGCCTCTGCCCTTGGCGCTTCCATAGTCAAGAGGCTCACGCCATTCCGCCGCCCCCCAATAGCAGTGAATCCGTAAGGGCTTCGCCCCCTGCCGCCGGCCCCCTCTCTCGGAGAATGGGCCATGGAAGAGCTAAGTCATGAGGCCTTGGCGCTGTCGTGAAGCAGTATCGAAACTTCATGCGAAGCCGATTCGCAATCAGCAAAACCAACTGATCACAAGAGGGGTTACCACACCTGGCGATTGGTAAGACGTGTATGGTTTACGGGCTTGGTTACCACACCTTGCGATTAAAGGGCCGAGGGAGTTCTCGCAGTTTGGGTTACCACGCCTTGCGATGGATGTGCGTGAAGGGTGGCACCGAATTTCAGAAATGTGGAAAATCCCATGTGTTTTGGACCCTGACCCCG